ATTCATAATATTTCTCTTATTAAACCGAAAACACAGGCACCACACTGTTTAAACCATGGTTTGTTTTGACAAAATGAATGTAATGTCCGCTTCAGTTCTGCAATCAGAATATTGTCACAAAACCAAACAGCATTACCTTTGCTATGCGGCTGCATATTTTAATAAATATCTTTAATTTACTGTCCATCATAAAGTGCTTTAGTGTTGCATGAAGCATAGTATATAATTTACAGCCTTGCCTAGGATTCAGCAGAATATATACACAGTGTATATTGAGAGTAATTAAATTTGAGTTGCACACACAAATAATACGATATGAAAAATTTAAGTCACCAAGGAAATCTAATCACTAAATTAAAAATAAGGAATGGTGTGGCATAGGAAATACACAAATATTTGGAGTAAATATTTTCATATCTCCAGCTGTGACAAATGATGAAGAGGTCCAGTGTATATGTATATTGGTTTGGGAAAGGGAAAGGTAAGGCACAGGAAAGAAACAACATGATGGCACGGCCTCCTCCTATAAAAATTCTGCCTTACCAAATGAAATTTTCCATCAATCCCCACATTTCTTGCATTTCAAAGAGAGAGAGACAAAAAATTAATCACACATAGAACTCTATTAATTGTGTTCTCATTCCCTTAATAATATACTTTATTTATTCCCTCTCTATCTCCCCAAGGGGACTCAGGGCGGATTACAGAACACACATATGGCAAATATTCCATGCCGTTATACAATTAACAAGGAAAGAAAATACATAAACAGAGGTAAAGGCTTTTCCCATCTTTTTCCATTTCCAGCATCTGAAGGCTGTCATCGACTCCGGCCACCCGGGGGAGGGGGAGGGCTGTCGCGCCATCTTCCATGCCGAGGAGCTTTGTCGTCCATAGACGTCTTCCTGATCGAATCACGGGCATGTCCTTATGGGCACCTTTTATTACTTTCCTGCTTAAAGTGATACCTATTTATCTACTCACGTTTGTTTTCAATCTGCTAGGTGAGCAGAAGTAGGGGCTGATGGCAGGTGCTCACCCAGAAGCTGGGCTTGAAATGCCAACCTTTTGATTGGCAGGATTTTCTGCAATTTAGCAGCTTAACCAAGCCAAGCATAGATGCACCCTTACCATTCTAGGTGAATCTACGCTATAATTAATGCAGCTTGACACCACTTTAATTGCCATGGAATCCTAGGAGTTGTGGTTTTCTTTCTCTGTTCATGAGGGCTAGTGCCTTACCAAAGTATAAATCCCAGGGTTATAACAGCATTGATCCTTGCCAGCTAAGGTCATGTCAAACTGCATTAATTCTACAGTGGAGATGCACCTCTTTTCTTTGCATACTTAAGTGTATTTCGAAATGATCAGCTGGGGTTTTAACATATTGTAGTACTAGGAAACTGGGAAGTGGAGGGGAATTATTATTATTATTATTGCTAGGGCAAATAGAAATTTCTTGTCAAAGAGATCTATACCACTGCTTCTTAAGATTTTTCTGATTCCCCCCCCCCCTCCTACCAGCAAAAAGATAGCAAAATAAATGTTTGGGTGAGCCAGTTACTCACCCCTGCCTTATCTAATAGCACATTGAACCTTCCCAAAGAGCAAATTTCATCACTGATATGTAGGTGTTAATAATAATAATTATTATTAGTAGTAGTAGTATTCTTTACATCCTACATTATTTATATCCCGCTTTAGCTCTCTAAAAAGAGACTCAAGCATAGACAAGAATAAAGCATGGTAGGTATAGAAGGCCAAAGGCACACAAGAGAATTACCATTTCTCACCCTTGGGAAAAAGTATGGTTTAAAATGCATACCAAAAGTAATATTCTCAGAGAAAAATTTGACCCCAAGGAACTGATTTTTCAGGAGCAAATGTATTGTTTCCATGCATCAGTACAAACAAATCACTATAGAGATCTCAAAGAGCTGCATTGCCTCATTCAACCTTTGGAAATATATGGCATGGGTCACAATTTACATCTTTTCAGACCCTCTTGTATCCTACTCCACAGCTGTTTGAATATGATTTACAGCCTGAGACCTTAATATCATAGTGTACTAGATGTGAAGTTGACTGATATCAATGAAAGCTCATGCTAAAATAAAAATCAGTCTTAAAAGTTGTTGCTAGTTTCCTCCCCTCTCTTCTCCTTTTTGGGGAAACTCAGTGTGTTAATCCTTCCTTGACACTTGTCCTTTGCTTTGCTATACTTTTGGTTTTCACCACACTGCCCTTGGTGTCTTATCTGACTTGCTTTGATCCCTTGTGTTAACTTTCCCTCACTAATGTTATTCACACACCATTTAAACTGGCTGCAATTCCTTAACCCAGATCCTTTGTGAATCCATAATGTAAATTCATGACACCCACATATAAAGAAACCTGTGTGTGTGTGTGTACGATTGTGGCTGGGGTGTGGGTGATGCTACTCCAATTCAGGAGAGAGTTGCAGATTGTAAAATTTCATTTATTTATCAGTTAATTCATAGATTAAAACATCAGGATGAAAACCTGAGGCTCATTGTTATTTCACTTTTAAAGGTCATGATTGTGTGTGGAAAGCAATGAAAATAGAAGATAAGTATCTTCCGTGTGGATTAGCAAACATGATTTCTAAGTCAATATTAATTAGCAGCAATCTATTAAAATATTATACTACGTTGCTTCTATTTAAATGTAAATCTCACCATATTTTGTCTTCCCATTCTTTCCATTGCTGTTGACAGACCCACTAATTAAGATTTAGAGGTGCCACTTACCAACATAAAACCACTGGAAATATTCTACTGCGTAGTCACTGAGAGAAGTGGGGAAGAAAAGTGAAATATTGACCCATTTCCTATAAAGGGTCATGTATACAGCAGAAGCTCTAGTAAGTTATTATACCAGAATTACGAAGCACCATTGTAATTATTACCAGAAAATCATATCCAGACTTGTGTACAGTCAATAGTACAACCAATAATAATGTTTTGTGTCAAGGCAGTTCAAATTCTCTCTATTTCTGATCTGCCTTCAGTAACTGACTGGCTGCTTTGGCTGATTTGTCTATTTATTTATCTGCACATTTAACATCATGTTTGTCTTGTTAACATTTGCACATGTCTTGCTGAGGCTTAATGAAAAGCAGTATTGTGACACCAGCACTTTAGATAAAGAAATGGCATGGCGACCCTGGATTGAGCTACATTTTGGGCCCCTTAATGCACAAGAACCCATTTGAGTCAGCTCTGTTTGGTACTTGGATAGGAAACTGTTAGTAGATGACAAGGCTGTAGGCTATAATGCAGGGGAAGGAATTGATAAAACCACCTCTGAGTATTCTTTGCCTAAGAAAACCCTATGAAATTCATGGGCTCACCAATAGGCAACTTGACGACACACAAAGATATAGCACATTGCTGTCTCCAGGTGTACAGAGTCAGAAATGCCCATTTTGTGAGCAATGCTAAAGCAAAATGCTAGTAGAATAAACCTTGGACTTTGACACTTCCTTGGGCACAACCACAAGTATGTAACCAGAAGCTTTTGTTTCCATTTTCAAAGCCAACTAAATGACTTTTTCCTTGTTAGTAGATCACTCGCAGAAACCCCAACATGTTGTTGTTGCTGCTGTTGTTGTTTTACAAATTCAAGTCACAGAGGCTTTCCTGTTGTCTTCCTCTGAGGCTGTGTGAGGACTTGCTCCAAGACATCCCATGGATTTCCATGGTTACATGGGGATTCGAACCCTGTTCTCTTAGAGTCCTAGTCCAATACTCAAACCACTATACTGAGATGATTCTCTTTAATTTTTACTAAATGGACATTACAGAAATTTGACTCACTGCTAGTATGTTTCCAGCCCATGTTCAAGGTGTTAATAATGACAATCAGAGCTCTACAGGTCTCCGAGCCCCAGAAGGTGCCTCTCCCTATGAAGAGATGACAGTTATTAAAATCTGCTTTGGAGTCCTGAGGCCACACATGCATAAAGAGGGGATATGAGAGATTTCTCAGCTGTAATGACCTATCAGTGGAATGGACCTTCCAGTGGCCCCATGAATTTCCAGGAACTGAAAGCTATATTTCAGAGAAAGGAACTGGTAAAACCACTTCTGAGTGTTCATTGCCTTAAAAAAACTCTGTGAAATTCATGGGGTTGCCTTATGTCAGCAGGATACCTGAAGTCACACACAGGATGATCTGACAAGGAGAGACCTGACCACTTTTTAAAAAAGTAGAAAATGTGTTATAGTGCTGTAAAAAAAGGAGGGGAGGTATGCCTTCTGAACATTGTAAAAAGTCCAAGATGAGGGCAAAGATCGGCCTACTCTTTATACACCAAAAACATAACTGAAGCAGTGCCCCACCTTTGATTGAGCATGCACACTATAGCATTGTTGTCATGTGCTTTTAAGTCAACTCTGACTCATGGTGACTCTATCATGGGAGTTTGGGGCAAGTTTTAGTCAAAAGGAAGTTTTCTATTGTTATCCCCTGAGACAGAGAGGATGTCCCACTGTTGCCTATGGTTACCCAGTTGAACCTTAGTCTACTGGAGTCTTAGTTTAACACAACACACAACACCATTCAGGTACACCACTATAGTATAGATACAATCAATATGACGTTGTCCTTCATGGCATAGGAAAAGTCAATGACACCAAGTAGAGCAGACAAGATGTCCTAGCCTAATCTTCCCTTTTTTTTCTTGGTTGAGGACAGTTTTAAAGTAGACTTTCTGACACAAAAAAAGAAAAGGAATACAAAAGTATTAAGGAATCTTCTTGGCACAGACATCGAGTGGACTAGTACATGAATTAAAGAGATTAATTACACCATGATTTAGGCACACACTCGTTATTATTAACAAAGAGAAATGTGCCCAAAATTAACAAGGGGGAGGATTGTTCTTTTTCAGACAGCAGGACTTCAAGTCATCAAGGAGAGAAGGAGATTTCTATAATTATTAAGCCAGCATGACAAATGAAGCTGAAGCTGCTTACCTTCCACGCAGGAGGGCTGAGCTCGCGTTGTGCCAGCAACTTGCCCAGGGAAGCAAGAACACTTGACAGTTTGTGACCGCTCTTCAATCTTGTTCTTGTTGCAACACCGGTGCACAGCAACCACTTCACATGTCCCTTGCTTCACTTGGTGGTGGCCTGTTAATGATGAAGGCACACACTGTTGGCTCAACTATGGTTACAAAAACAGAAGGACATGGCTTCCTCCATTACACTCCCCCTGCCCCAGTTACAGGTAATCTTATCAGAGTTAGCATCATGCTGACACACATGTATCTTTTCTGTGTAACCATGAAGATCATTCCTGGAAGTTTATGTGATGGGAACTAGATGTGGGGAATTCTTCTCATAGTCCTTAACACAAACCCCACATCACCTGAACCTGACTACAGTAGCGAGGGGTTTTTGGAAACTGTTTTGCAAAAAAGCAAATCTCCCTTGCTCTGCTCAGGCGAAGAGCTTTTTGAGCCATAGATAAATTTTGTAAGGTTCCCCCCTTACAAGTATGCATATTTTCCCATGCAAAAGAAGTTCTCAGATATTTAGTTCTGCCAGGTGACTACTGTTAGTCTGTGTATGTTGAGATATTTTTAACATTCAATTAATGTGGAACTGGATATTGTTGGTTTTGACCAGAGGTTGTTGGTGGCTTCTATGCCAGTAGGGTGGAGAAGAGATAGATATTTTATTGAAATTTTAAAGAAACTAAGATAAAGGTCAAGGTTTTCCCCTGACATGAAGTCCAGTCGTGTCCGACTCTGGGGGTTTCTGCTCATCTCCATTTCTAAGCCAAAGAGCCGGCATTGTCCATAGGGTTATGTGGCTGGCATGACTGGATGGCGCGCCGTTATCTTCCTGTTGGAGCAGTACCTATTGATCTACTCACATTTGCATGTTTTCAAACTGCTAGGTTGGCAGAAGCTGGGCTGAAAGTGGCCGCTCACTTTGCTCCCCGGATTCAAACCTGTGACCTTTCGGTCAACAAATTGAGCAGCTCAGCAGTTTAACCCACTGGGCCACTGGGGGGTCCTTAAAAAAACTAAACAAAGGCTAAATACTAGCCTTGAAGTTGGTTCAGCACCTTGGATAGCTCATTCAAAGTTTGAATGTTTGGAAGGAGCAGATTCACCCACAAAATAAGGCCACCAACTGCTAGTGATTTGGATTCTTTTATTCTTTTCTGTTCTGTTGACAACAATGGTGGAAGCAATCTCTACTGAAAGAAATGAGACTTTCTCCTTGTAAGACATATACAGAAGTACACTAGAAATGACTGTATGTAATATATATTTCAGTTTATAATTGACTGCTGAATATCATGCTGCATGAACAATGACTAGAGTTATAAACTGGCACTTTCCCATTTACAGTGTATTACTTTCCATATAAAATGCTCTGCTGTTCAAAGAAAATATAGCCATTAAAAAGAACATATGCTATAGACATTCATAATGTTCATCACTCAGACTAGAATCAACTTCCACTGGGTTTAGGAATGCACTGCCCCACTGCTACTCCTTCATCACTTTCTCATATAATTCCTAAACTTCTCTCACTCTTAAAGTGTTGTCGGATACTTGCTCATCATCTCATTCTCAGCTTTCTCCCCCCCCCCCCTTCTCCTCTTTAGATTGCAAGGTCTTCAAGGCATTGGTTACGGCTTATCAGTGTTTGCAAAGCCTTAGGTAAATTAACCGCCCAATGTGATAGCAATTTCTTTTAATAATTGAGTTAGTTGAGCAGAAGTGTGATTTGGAGAATAATAAAACAGAGTCATCAAAGCAGCACAAATGTTTCTTACACAGAAAGAAAAATCATGGACCCAAATGTGGGATTGGTATTACATGTTTAAGGAATGCATAAAAGAAACAAGCTGTTATAGAATAATAGAATTGAAAGAGACTACTAAGGCCATCCAGTCCAATCCCATTTTGCCATGCAGGAATTCACAACTACAGCATTCCCAACAGAAAGCCATCCAGCCTCTGTTTAAAAACCTCTAGAGAAGATTCCACCACCCTTCAAGGCAGCATATTCCTCTGTCCTCCAGTTCTTACCATCATAAAGTCCTAATGTTCAGGAGAAGCCTCTTTTCTTGTAGTTTAAATCCATTATTTCTCATCCTAGTCTCTGGAGCAGTAGGAAAAAAAGCTTGACCCCTCATTAGTGAAACATCCTTTAAAATATTTAAATATGACTATCATTGCTGGTTCATTGGCTGTTGGTTTGATGGTTGCTCTTATATGCTGTTATAATGTTGTTTTATTCTGTTTTATGCTGTTGTCTATGTATTTTAATGTGTTAATTTTAACTGTTTAATCGGGCTCATTCCCATGTAAGCCACCTGAGTCCCTTCAGGGAGATGGAGGCAGGGTACAAATATAAAGTTTCCCTCCTACCGCTATAATCGAGGTTTTGGTTTGGGAGAGAAAAAATAGAGGAAACGGGAAGGAAAATGCAGCTGCTCTCAAAGGAATCATTGGACTTTCTCAACCTCTGAGGATGCTTGCCATAGATGCAGGCGAAACGTCAGGAGAAATGCCTCTAGAAAAAACCCACAAGAACCTAAATATAAAGTTCATCATCATCATCATCACCACCACCATGTCCTCCCTTAACTTTCCCTTCTTCAAGCTAAACATACCCAGCTCCCCAAGCTACTCCTCATAGGGCTTGAATTGTGTGTCCCAGATGTGGGACACAGTATTCCTCATGAAGTCTGATCAAAGGAGAATAGAATGATATTATTGCTTTCCTCAATCGAGACACATTGCTCCTATTGATGCAATCTACAATTTCACTGGCTTTCTAAAGTTGCTGCATCACTTTGTTGACACGTGTTGATCTTCTTCTTCTCTCCCTTCATGGGTCATGTCCTTCAACTGGGAGGAGAAATAAAATGACAGCCTATACATCAAGATATTTCAGTTCTTACCCAGAGCCTCGTAATTCCTTGCGATATCTTGAAGGCTCTGTCTTCCAGTGTCATTGGTTCCCAAGTGAACCAAAAGAAAATAATAATGGTTTATACACTTGATGAGTCTTGTCAGCCTCTCTGTTAAATCATGGATTTTTGACCCAAGGAAACAACACGCCTCACGAGGAGATATCACTGCTTCTGTCCTTCTCAGTAGGGAGTCCCCTACCACCACCACACATCTTCTCTGAAGATTAGCTGGAGCTATTCAAAGTGATACATCTTGAAAGGCCAAGCGCACATTCTCTGGGGACTGACATTGTTGTATTTCCTGTCATCACTTATTAGGAAAAGAGCTTCAAATAGAAGTTCTATCCCCATCGTTCTATTTCTACATGTTACTGTCCTCCTGTGTTTGGAAACTATCCTCCTCATCAGTGACATCTATTTTGTGTTCCTCATCCAGGACAGTTTATTGTGCTCTATCCAAGGAAACCTCTTGCTCCCTAATACATTGAAGATTAGATACACAGATCTCAAGTTGCTACACCTTCTCTTCCATGGTCATGAACTTGTATTTGCTATGGGTATAGCTACCTATATCCTTTAGTAAGAACACAAACATATCACAGCACTTGCAGGTGACTGTAGCAGCTCCCACATCCTCCATATTCAGAAATCTTAAGTACATACTGAAACAGAAATTTGAGACTTCCCCTTAAAGGTCCCCCACTAAACACCCACACAAACTGATGTTTGTCTTCTCTATTAAACAAGCTCCTGATTGCTAAGCTCTAGGAACGCGGCTTCAGTCATATAAAGAGCTGGGTTGACACTGTTTTGTAGACTCCAACTAAGTTTCTGACTCACTTCTTCTCAGCAGATACTTCACTCCCCTCACACTATGTGCTCAGACACAGAATCTGGAGCAACAAACAATAGAATATTACAATAGAATATCAGAATACTAACAAACAAGCACACACATGCATACAGAGGATTCAAGACACCTTACATTTTTAAGGTGATGGAAATCAAGAGGGTGCCATCTTACTATCAGAACAGTTGAATTAAGACAAGAGCAGGGGCGGCTCATCCATTACGCGAAGTAAGCGGTCGCAGAACATTTTTTTTGCCAGGGGCGCAGAGGCGCCTCTGTAAATGCCCCTCGACTGCCACTTGAGGAGCGCCCCCTCAGCTCACAACAGCCCTAGCAGTCCGGGGGGAGCCTCGGCTTTCTTGCCGTGCTGGGCGATCATCTTCCCAAAGGGGCCGGGCGCTTGAGCCTCGCCTAGCCCCTCTCGTTCCTGCTCCACCCGGCCACCGGGTGCGCAAGCAGAGCCAGCGCTCAATCATTCTCCGCGTTCGATCCCTTCCCCATGACCGGCTCCCTTTCCTGATCCCCTGGCGCTCCACCCGCCTCCTCTCCTCTCCCCAATCCGTGGGTGGGCCAAGGGGCGGAGCCGCCGCGCCTGGCCCACTTTGGGTCCGGAGGCGTGTCTGAAGACCCCAGCGCACCAAAAGTCGCCTCTTCTCCTGACTTTCTCTTCAGCCATTGGGACCCAGAGAGAGAGAGAGAGAGAGAGCCCCCCGGCTGGAGGTATCTCCCACCTCCGCTCCCTCCTTTGTTTTTGCGCCTACCTTCAGGAAAGGTGGGCATCTCCACCTCTGTCTCTCTCTCTCTCTTGGTCCCAATGGCTGAGGAGAAAGTCAGGAGAAGAGGTGACTTTTGGTGCACACGCCGGGGTCTTCAGGCACACCTCCGGACCCAAAGCGGGCCAGGCAAGGGAGCAAATGCGGCAAGTGTAGTTACTGGGATGTATAGTTCACCTACAATCAAAGAGCATTCTGAACTCCACCAATGATGGAATTGAACCAAATATGGCACACAGAACTCCCACGACAAACAGAATATATATATCAATGATTGGTTGGGGGGGGGGGGGCGCCAAAATACTGTTTGCTTACTATTGAAAATTACCTAGGGCCGCCTGGACAAGAGTATAAGAGTCACACTAAGCTAGGAATCCTGAAAGCCATAATCCTGAATTTAGAATTATCCCAACCTATCCCTTCAGTGTTAGTAAGATTAAACAAAGGGAGAATCTCATGGATACTGAGGTATATTACACTAAGTTTCGTGACTTAACATATCATCCAAATGCAAGCATTATCTTTTCTTCACTCATTGATTAAACTATTGAGTTCATTATCATAAGAT